TCTGAAAGAGCTTTGTTATGTATTCTCCCATTACATGAATCTGGAAAACCAGCAGCTGTTGGATCCTTTGGGACTTTGTTTCGATCGGTCGGCAAGTCCTCGATCGACATGTTCTGGTCGTGATTAGCCTGTACGCGGTCGACGAACGCGATCGGCATCACCTTGAGGTGTGAACTGCCTTTTCCGATGAATCGCTCATGTTGCTGCGCATCGCCTTCCTCTTTCGGCTGCAGATTCACCTCTCGAACCTCCAGAAGGTTCTTCGGTGCTTGATCGCAATCGATCTGCGGCTCTGGATCGCGATTTGTCTGCTTCTTGTCGGCTACCGTTGCTGGCGCCGGATTCAACCAGATTGTCGAATTCCGACGATCGCGATCGGCCTCCACCCACCGACACAGCTTTGACAACATTTCCTCTATTCTGTCCCACTGCGCCATTCGTTGCTCATGGATTTCTGCCATTTCCGATTGAAGACGGGCTCTGATACCAATCTGTTAAGGTTCAGCTATGAAACTCCACTTTCCAGCACCAATCGAGCCTTTATTCCTCACCGAAAACCTGAATACAACTTTGGATGATCTTGATTTATGAGAGGATCCCAACTGTTAAGGTTCAGCTATGAAACTCCACTTTCCAGCACCAATCGAGCCTTTATTCCTCACCGAAAACCTGAATACAACTTTGGATGATCTTGATTTATGAGAGGATCCCAACTCTCATTCCCCACACAAACCCTAACCCTTTTTCAAGTTTCTGCGTAAATTCTTTTCCCCCAATCTAGTCTGTATTTATAACTACTCATAGCCAAAACTACTAACTAACTAATAGTAACAACCCAAACAACCCATACTAACTATAGTCCAGATTCAATGAATCTACATAACCCATACATCTATCAATACCGCCCGCCTGAGTTTCAGCTTGTCCTCAAGCTGATGATCTGGAATTCGTTCGTTCAAATCTTCGTGGCCTAACTTTCCGAGCGTAGTATAATGGCTGTCCAAAATCTGCTTAAGCTCCACTAACCATTCCAAGTCTGCCAAAAGTTGTTTTTGATTCGGAGCTGGCTGAAACTCTTTTCCAATGGCCTGCTTCCGCAATTTCTGATATGTCTTGCTTGCCCAATCTGACTGCTTGTTCAATCCAAACTGCAGAAATATCCCTTTCTCTGACCGAAACACAACCCCACTAAGGATTGCATCATCACATGTCTTCCTCCTCAGCTCTATACGAGTGCCACAGCGATCATATAATAAGAGTCTAAAAATTTCCCAATCACGGCACTTCCCAATTTTTTTCTGGCCATTGAACAACATCAGAGCTTCCCCACCCAAATCTGTAGAATCTAGGTAAAACATCTCCTTGTCACTACAACCACCAAATCCAAAGTACCTTTCAGTTTTGACATCCCATTCCAGAATGAAGCTGTCATCGAACACTGGAATTGTCTTCTTCATGTGCGAATCAGTCTTCCCGATGAATCGATCTGAAAGAGCTTTGTTATGTATTCTCCCATCACATGAATCTGGCAGCTGTTGGATCCTTTGGGACTTTGTTTCGATTCTCTCGTACTAATTCCAAGCACACAGCTGATCATACAAAGATAGTTTAACCCCCTTTTGCAAATTGAATGAAACGCAAAGAGATATTCTGCAGAGCTGAGTAGAGAAGCCAGAGAGAGACAGAACCGTAAACTCTACTGTAGAACACCAAAGGATCATACATCTTAAAGAACCATAACCGGACTTTCGTGTCATCAACTTCAGACTTTTTTATTCGCCCAGAAAAAAAGGTAGAAGCTCACTTTGAGGGTTTTTTTTTTTCAATTCCCCAGAAGAAAAACAGAGGCTCTAAACTGCTCGATGGTATTTCATATCTTCCCTGAATATATGACAAGGCTATATCTCGAATAACAGAAAGAGAATCAGAAGAACATGAAAAAAAAAAAAGGTGAAAAACTTAAGACAAATGAGACGCTATAGCCTTGTCAAGCACAAACAAACACCAGTCCAGAGAAATCCCATTTCCGAACAGAGAAAGATGAAACGAGAACGCTACCTCTGGCGGGAAGGTGGAAGAGGAAGGAGGCGGAGAAACCGCAAGAGGATCTCACACCATCGGAAGCACCTTCACCAATCAGATTTCTGGAGACAATCAGAGAAGAGGCGTTGTGAGTCCTCCACATCGACGACGAAGCTATTGAAGATAGCCTCCTCGCTGCTGCCCTCAGCATCCCGAGATCCTTATCCTTTTCGTCTGAAATATCAGAATTCTCTCGTCCGATCAGACCTTCGCTGAATTCTTCTGCGAACTCGATGGAAAGAATCGATTTTCACCCCCGAGTCGGCAAAAATAGCCGGAAAACGGAATGGTTGTCGATCGTGCCACGTCATATGCTGGCCCTCTAATAAGACCCAATGGGCCTATTTTGAAGCCCATTCAAGGGGCCTGAATAGTAAGAGAGAGAGGCGAAGGTGATGGACGCGGGCGCTCGACGGGTGTGTTGCGGAGGAGAATGGAAGACGGAGGGGAATTCGATGCCGCAGAGATGGAATACACAAGTTACGCCGGAGAGCATCACCTGCCGTTGATTATGTCCCTCGTCGATCAAGAACTCAGTGAACCTTATTCTATCTTCACCTACCGTTACTTCGTCTATCTTTGGCCCCAGCTGTGCTTCCTCGTAAGTTTTTTTTTTTTTTTTTTTTTTTTTTTCAAGATGTCTGGCTTGGTTTCTGAATTAATCTGTGATTTCTTGTCCGGTAAGGCGTTTCACAAAGGTAGATGCGTGGGAACCGTTGTGTGTAAGATGGGAGAGCACCGGCACACTTTCAGAGGTTACATCGCCATGTTGGTTGTCATTAAGCCATATCGTGGCCAAGGCATTGGTAAATAAATCTAATTGATTGCAGGAGTAGTCAAGATCCATCTTTTTTGTCGTCTTTATGCGCCTCTAATTTGTTGGCATGCTACTTATGTTTGGATCTTCTTCTTCAGTTGCTCGTTACTTGTAATGGCTCACTTTATCTGGTATCTCAAAGCTCCATCCTCTGTGCTTTGCAGCGACAGAGCTGGTTACGAGATCTATAAAAGCTATGATGGAATCAGGCTGTGAAGAGGTATGTTCATCTTTCATTTGTCATCTCTCTGTTATTTACAATGTAAAGAATTGGGTATGGTAGAAAGATATTTCGACCCACCCAATGCAACTGTAGATATTAAAGGATTGTAAACCCTCTTTCTGCAAAAGGCCAGACTTCTATTGCATGATCAACCACTTCGATTTTGCTTTAAGGTGTGCTAGAATGTTAGAGCAGAAGCTATTGTAGGTGCATCTAGTTGTTGCTTGTTTAGCTGCATTTTACAACATTCTCTATTTGATGGTTTTAGCCACGGGATTTCATCTTAGAGCACTGAGTAGGGATGAAAAGTCCTCAAATATTATGGATCCTTTAAAAAAAAGGATTGTTATACATGGATCCTAAAAAAGAAAGAATCTGACAGTACATTATATGTTGGGGTTGAAGGTGACTCTGGAGGCGGAAGTTACAAACAAAGGAGCGCTGGCACTGTATGGGAGGCTGGGGTTCATAAGAGCGAAACGGCTATACCACTACTATTTGAATGGCATGGATGCCTTTAGGCTGAAGCTTTTGTTTCCTCGGCAGATGTTGCCACCTTTTCAACCTCACATGGCTTCTCAAGATCACATCCATCCGAAGCAAGATCATGAAAATGCAATCCAAGACTAATATGCTCTATGAGAGCCCTTGTGCTGATACCCGTCTTCAAAGCTGTTCTTACATTGCATTTTCGCCTGCACTATATTGTTGTCTTTCGTGGGTAAAGCCGTGAGAAAAGAAAGTTTACAGCTTGTGCGATGCGGATGCTTTTTTTGGTCTGAGAAAAAACGATCATAAGGTAGAATTTGCGTATGTGCAAACGATCATGAATTGAGGTGCTGGTGTAACATCTCTGCCTATCTCTTCTCGTCGTAACATTTACTGTTGTTTCCGATGTTTCATCTTCCTCCATTGCACAGACTTCATCACCGTCCACAGTATCAATGACCATTACACCTCTGTTCCCCTCCTAAAACTTGCCCATGTTGTATGGTCCTAATCCAGTTTCAGCCAATGGCTCTCTTTGGCACGAAGATTACCGATCTCAGAGGTTCCACTTGACTCTTCTGTGGACTCTTGACCGTATTGATAAAGTCTCTGTAGGCTTTCCGGTTGGATTCTTCATTATCTCACATGTTTTCCAGTTTTTCCCTAATTTTTACTTTTCCCTTTATAAAAAGGGCAAAACCCCTAAATAAACCTCCAACTTGCAAAAATATGTACAAATAAACCTCGAACTTGAAAAACTATCATTCAATCTCCGAACTTGTAACTTGTCACTGAATAAAACATCGAACTTGCAAATTATTGCTCTACTAAACCATTGACCGATTTAACCACAATTTTAGGCGATCGGAAATCCACATATTAACGGATTGTTGATGTCACCTTATACACGTTATCAATTTTAATTTAAAAAATGACACCAGCAATCCGTCAATACGTGGATTTTCGATCGTCTGAAATTGTGGTCAAACCGGTCAAAGGTTTATTAGAGCAATGATTTGCAAGTTCGAGGTTTTATTCAGTAACAAGTTACAAGTTCGTGGATTGAATGACAGTTTTTCAAGTTCAAGGTTTATTTGTACATATTTTTGCAAGTTGGAGGTTTTTTTAGGGGTTTTACCCTAAAAGATTAGTAACATATTTTTTTGCATCACTATTTACTAGTTTGAAGAAGATACTTGCACGACGTAACTCTTTTCACGACACGACCTGAATTTTCATAAACTTTCCACGGGAACTATAGGTCACGTAACGAACGGCAGACGAGGAGGTCTTTTTCATGTTTTGTAGGTCTTCAATATGACCTACCAATATTTTTAATCTATTTACCATCATTTTTAATCTATTTGACTTGGCGGAAATTATTAAGAAATCATGTTCTATTTGTTGATTATCTTATTGGGTCAACTGATCAAATGGCACACTTACAAAGTACGAAGTGCTTCTCTGGAAATCATTATGACCGAGATTCTTGTCAGTTGCAGGAGATATACATCTCAATAATGGTGTTCAAGCTCAATCAAATCCACCAGAGGTCTTGCGAATTGAGAGATGAGATGATGATGACAACAAGATCGAGGATCCAAGATCTAGAAATGGAACTCAGGCTTACCAAGACACTTATAATATCGTTAAACTAACGTGGTTCTACAAAGATCCTCAGGAAATTACACGAGGATCCTTCTCTCTTGCACAACTCAAACATGTTGGCGACCCTTCTCTCCTGCACAACTCAAAACAGTGGAGGGTAGCATGTGTATAACAAAGTTTAGCAGGTCCTAACATTAATTAGTTAGTTTTAATCGATTTAGTGTTTAATAACAATTATTGTAGGGGAAAACACCTAGGTGAGTTGGCAAGGAGCATGGTCAACATACCGAGAGGTTAGGGGTTCGATTCCTTGCCCGCTCACCTATCGTCTGTCAGTTACGGCTGATTTACCTCCCATGCGTGTGTTGCAGGCTCGTGCGTGTGGGCTTGGGTTTACTCGGTCAGCGCGCCCGAAGGGTAGCAGCCGTGGTTCCCAATGTATAAAAAAAACAATTATTGTAATAAATTATCAATAGGATATGTAACACATGATAAAATATCATCATTCACGACAAGTCATGTATGTTATCCTTCTCTCTTTACCCGGAAAAGATATCAAAATGAGCGACTTTTTCCAATTTCGCATACCTTATTTATTTTATCTAATACACAGGTGCAGGTTATTAAGCAGGTGCTCTGATCTCTCCACATGTTATACTTGTCTATTGCACGTTATGATCTCGTTCGTAACCACTGTCGGTTTTTTTTGCAGCATACATGTTGATAAGTTCATGTCGTGCAATTGTTCACTGTTTGCAGGTTTCAAACCAGGACATGCGTTGAACATGATCTCGTACCCGTGGAATCGGGTATCCGAACCCGAAAACCCGTGAGATAATTATCGGGTAGCCGAGAGTATCCAAACCCGAATATTTGTAATTATTTTCAATCAATTTCTAAAAATATATTTATATATACATACTCAAAATCATTCAAAATAAATTTAAATTGTATTTATATCTAAAATAAATTTATTTTAAAAAAATACATCACAAATATATCCAATAATATCTATATAATCATTAATATTAAATAAAATAACTCAAAATCTAATAAAAAAATCTAAATTTTAAAACATAATTTTTTATTATCCGAGTACCCGAGGGTACCCGTGAGATAATAACTATTACTCGAACCCGAACTCGAAAACTTGGGTATTCCAATATTAATACCCGATCTCATATCTCGTTCGATCGGATACCCGAATTTTCGGGTATCCGACCCCCGGATCGGGTCGGGTACTCGAAATCCGGGTATTTTTGTCCACCCCTAACTCTTAAGAACTATCTAAGACATGTGATACTAATTACTACCGCCGCAGTTTGTCTCCGCATATGAGTAGTATTTTTAATTAAAGAGAAAAACACTTACATGCGATATTAATTAGAATATAGTAATTTTTTTTGTATTTTTGTTAAGTTTTTATGATATTTTTTTTCTTCCCTTTTTCATGTTTCAGTCTCATTTCCCTTGAAAGATGTTTTTGTCAATTTTGTTGTATTAACAAGAATATACATGTTATTTTATAATTAAAAAAGTATACAATGTAAAAGATTTTTTTTTTGGCACACGCAAATTTCCTCAACTTTGAAATCAACGGAACTTCAAGACTTTTGTGAAAGTGTGTGTATAATACGTTTAAAACCCAAAGAATAAAAGTACCAAAAGTACATGGAAGGAAACAAAGAAGCAGCAATTAGATTTTTTCTTTAAAAAAAAGAAAGAAAGAAACTTTGTGTCCATACAATTAGCCTACGTTCTTCTCCTGCTGGAGACAGTTGAAGAGGAGACATTGCCATCAAAGAGGTCATCGATGAGATCCTCAATGTCTTCAGGTTGGAATTTGATGTACTTCTCTGTCTGCCTTCCAGGATCCAAGAACTGAGAGAATCTGGCCAAGAAGGACCTGTAGGCAGGAATGATGACGGCAGAGATGGAGACCCTGAGCTCACTCTGAAGTTGCTCGTCATTGACCACCCATGAACTCTGCATCCTGTGAATCTCGTCGAACATTGCGTTGAAGCTCTTGAACCTCTCTTTCAGATTCGGCTTCACTATCTTCCCATTGTTCATGAGACCCTCGTGGCCCAGACACCCCAACAGCTTCCCCCATGTCTCCCTCTGGTAGTTCTTGTGGTAGTTCCTCAGTTCCGATGATCTCCGCCTGCACCACGTGTCCCCCATCACCCCATGTATCTCTGGTGACCCTCTTATCTTCTGCACTATGTACCTCCCATTATTCATCATGAATATGCTGCTCAACGACACGTCCCTGTATAGCTTCGACTTCCCTTCCAAATTCCCGTCCAACAAGTCCATTATCCTCATCAGCTGGCTCGAGAATGGCGAGCCATCATCATGATCTGTGTCCCCCGCCTTGTTGTTTCTGCATGCGTTTGTTGAGTCCGAACGCTCGATCTTGGAATGCTCCCTGAAAACCTGTTCCAGAGTGTCTTTGTACTCGCACGAGTATTTGAGGTAATTCATGGTGTATCTGGTCAAGGGATGAACAGCTCCTCCAGGAACTGGGGTTTTGCTGGAATCAGACTTGATGGAGTGCTCGAGATCTGAGAATATGGAGATGGCGGTTTCCCCAAGGCGAGAACGAGCGCTGTTGGCCTCATTTCTGAGCTCGTTCCTGAACTCTGGAGGGAACAAGCTCTCCATGGCAGGGAAATGATCCCTGAGGGTCTCGTATATATCCAAAATCTTGAATAATTTCTCGGTGGAACGCTTCGTCATTGCGACCGCCTGAGCGAAACCCAAGAACTGGATGGCCAAACTGTGTGTGATGATGCAGAAAAGGCTGCCATTGTCCTCCGGGAAAATGTTGTCGGAGAGGTTGTGCTCTCCCGGGAAAAACAGGGAGGAGCAGTCCTTGAAAGTCTTGTTCCATATGGGAATCTCTCTCTCTAGCGTCTCCCAACTCATCTTCTGCACCTCGTCTACGCTTACTTTCTCAAATTCTCCATCTTTTAGAGTCTGCATCAATATGTTCCTCCTCGCCACCAAAAACACCTCTCTACATTCGGATCCGTAGCCTCCTCTAATCATATGATCCACCATGTTCCTGAGCACCGACACGATTTCATCAGGGTAACCTGGATAATCCATGCCCACCTCCTCGGGAGTAACTTTATCGTCTCCTTCAGATGCGGCCTCCACGTTTTGATGATGGTCTTGCTCCGCCTTCTGAGGACTGTTGTTGTCTTCTTCGAGAAGGAGGCGGAACTCATCTTCCAAGAAGGCCATGGCCCGCTGCTGGATGGAGCCAGCGTGGTTAATCAAAGGGCCATGATGATCCAAGCACGATTTGATCTCCATCAACGACCGCATCAGCTTCGACACTCGATCAGAGCCTTCCATCAACGCTGATACCTCCGACGAATCTTCGCACCACCTCATCTTACCCTCTCCCGAATGGTATCTGCTTAGTTTTTCCTCGAATATATCCAAATAATTTCCTACAATCTTAGGGATCTGAAGATAATCATCCCTAGCGCCTTCACGGCATTCGTTCTGCAAGGTGGAGAGAAAGAGATCGAATTCTTCGGACAAGGATTCGAGGGTGAAATGAATATTTTCGACTTCTAATTCCCCCACGGTAATCTCTTCTTCCTTTACGACATCGTCGCCCTCCCTGATCGCATTTTCTGTTTCTTCCTCAACCATTTCTTGATTATCTGCCGCTGATCCGACGCTGTTTCCGGACTGCAAGGCGTCGCCTCTCTCATCGGGACTCGCCTGATCTTTTCCATTATTCTCCATTGTTGTCTTCTCAATGCTCAAACTGATTTTGAGTTGTGTCGAGGAGCCAAAGATCCATCCATCGTCTCATGTATTTTCTGGTTCGTTTAGGATCGTTGTTTTGTGGTTTAGGGGGGGAGAGAGAGAGGGAATTGGAACGGCCTGCAAGGGGTGCAGAGACGAAGCAGGAGGCCTTATTTTTGGGATGATTGACCTTTGACTTTTTCACGCAGCAACGAGGACGTGTGGGTATGTGCGTATGGGCATATGCTAATTTAAAAAAAAAATTAAAAAAATGCCTTTTTAAGAATATTTGGATTGTCCCAGTCCAGAAAATATGATGGTATCCTTCTATATGAATATATAATACACATTCATTTATTTTTTAATTGAACAGCGTATTATACGATTTTATTGCATTTACATGCAAATAGACTTGAACGTGGAAGAAATGCGAGTGACGTGCGCGCACACTGCTACCCCTGGCCTCACTCAACTCGTCCACCTTTCATCATGCATCCAACTCTAATTCGTGTTTTTATCGAATCTTTTATATATAAATGCGCTTTTGGCTAATACATTAGCGTAATGTTTCTAAAATCTAAAAAGGTCCCACCGGGAGTCGAACCCAGGTCGCTGGATTCAAAGTCCAGAGTGCTAACCACTACACCATGGAACCCTTTTCCGTTATTAAGCTAAAATAATTAAAATTGAAATTATGCTGGCAGTAGGCCCATTATTTTCAGAGGAGAACTAGCAGACCAAACAAACTCTAAACCCTAATTGGACTTGATCAATTTGTATGGGCCTTTCTATTAAACAATAACGAAAAATTGAGACTCGAAAATCCATATTTTTCGGGTGGATTTAGATCGGGTTTAAATTGTGGAGTATATGGAATCCAATGACTAATTAACACGCACTAATGCTTTAATCTCTCTCATGTGACAGAAAATTTGGTTTAATCCATACTAATGTAGTGATAAGAAAAGATGAAGAACGTAATCGATGGCTTGATGGGACTCAGGACCCTTTACTTTCATTCTCCTGATGCATCAACAATTTTGGCTTACTATTAATATTTGTGTCCCAGTTGTCAAATGAGAAGAGTAAATGGAAAAGGCATGTCAAACGAGAACCTGCCTAGAACTCACATCAACAAGGCGGATCCCTCCATTTGCATTTCGGCTCTTTTTTGTCATCAATCATCGGACGAAATCCCCATCCCGTCATCTATATGCTCCACAACACCCTACATAGCGAAAGGGCATTTTCGGGATGGACGCAACGAGAGATATTCTCTGCAACCTGCAACCATCCCCACGCAAACAAACAAACAAAGACACCTTAAACCCCTACATAAACCCCCTCCCCGTCTAACAGCTTTTTATTCTCTCTCTCTCTCTCTCTCTCTCTCTCTCTCTCTTCTGCTATATATATATATATATCCATCCTCCGCCATTACAACGTCCACTCGTCAAGCTTCTCATTTCTTCTTGGAGGATCATCCATGGCGGACCCTCCGTCTCTCCACGACTTCCTTCCTCGCCACCTTAGCTCCGGCTCCAACCCACGAATCACGGCGTCAAACAAGAGGCACTCGACGTCTTCCTCCGCCATCGCCGGCAGAACGGGACTGTCGCCCCCGTGCCCGAGTCACCACAGAATATTCTCGTGTCAGTACTGTCCTCGCAAGTTCTACTCATCTCAAGCTCTCGGCGGTCATCAAAACGCTCACAAACGTGAACGCGCCGCCGCTCGCCGAAACCTCGGCAACGGTACTTTCCCTGTCCCATCCGCCCAGATCCCCATCTTCCACCGCCGCAACGGCATCCACAACTCGAACGAAGGCTACAAACCCAGCTTGGTTCACCCAGTTCCGTATTTTTACCATAACCCTCAAGCTTTCTTGGAGATGGGCTCTAGCTCAGCAGCCATGCTGGAAAATAGTGGTTCCGCGTTTCAGGGGCCATGGGAGGAGCTGGGTCAGCAATCGACGGGAGGTCAGCACTACGTGGAATCCCAATCTCGGATGGAAGGATCGGGTCGTCCTTACGGGTATGGGTACGGATACGCGTTGTCGTCGCTTGATGATAGTATGGGAGAAGACGATTCTCTGGATCTCTCTCTTCGTTTGTGAATAAAACGCTAGTTTATGGCCTTGTCTTTTAAAAGCTCTCCTTGACCGAAAAGAAAGAAGACGGAGGAGTATTATACTTTATCGTGAAACGAACTTTGGGGTTGAGATTAGGGTTTGGATTGTGATCCAAGGAAGAGAGATGCTTGATATGGTAATATTTTTATTGCATAGCATGCACTCGACAAGGGTGAATTCGGAATGATATGCAGTTGGGATGTGAAGTACAAGTCGTGGGTGGAAGGAATCAATGTGGTAAATAAACAGCAGAATGAATTGCTCAAATTTTAATTGGATCTCGTTTTTGTTATGTAAAGAGATTAGGATGAGAGTGGACTCAAGTGTCTAAAATGCTTTAGTATATCTACTACTACTACTCTCTCTCCCCTTTTATGTTGTGAGTTGCAAACTTGCAAACTCCTTTTGTCTTTTGCCCATCAGTAATGGTGGGCGTTGATGATATTGCACATACGGAAAATATTAGAAGAAGGGGGGAGTGGAGCCACGCAATGCATCTCTCTCTTTTCTCTCTCCACCTCAATCTTCACTCGCATGTGTAAACCTTGGTTTCCCTCCTAATTCTTTCCATTCCATCACAACTTCATGCCTATTTACCCCACACTTTCTCCCAACAATTCCCCTCATATGGTTATATCAATGCACCTTAGCTCCTCTGCTTCCCTCATTACGTTTTCTATCATTGATCTCAGTAAAGGAATCTTCATATGTTCATTGCAATCCACACCACCAAACACTTCGGCAGGCTAACATTATGGTACTCAAGAAAGGACCTCCTGTACAACGGCAACAGATGTGATTAGATTTACAGAAAACTTAATGCAGATTGCTAAACATATCTTAATTCAAGGACCTCACCAATACTCCGCAACAGAGTGTTAGGTATGTACTTCATAACCGTGCCTTAAAATTATCACCGAAAACAAACTTGAACAATTCCCTAATTGACAAGGTCTTTTCATTTCGTGACATGATTATAAAGTTCAAGCAAGGGAACTTCCAAATGATGTAGCTGCAGATATAACAATCCTCTCCAACTCCGAGAAATCAGTTTACACCACCTTCCTGACAGTGATTTTCTCTAAAGAGACAACCTGGGCTAGCTAGAATCAAGACAAGATCAACTCTGTAACACCAAGAAGATTCACCAACAGGACAGACGTATTGAATCTCATATTTGACAGCTCCTTCAACCATCCTGACCACATCTTAATCAGACAATACTTGTCAGATGATCAAATAATCTGGAAAACATTCACTCTCAAACAATAATCTAAGCAGTTAAGAAAAAACTCCGAATCCAATACGATTGCTGGCTGGTAGGGGTGCAAACACCAGATATCAGCCATCCTCCAGAGACAAGAAAAAGCGAACATGGACTTTCAATCCCATAGAATTAGACTCTGGACAAAAGAAACACGTTTTGAGATACCTACTTTCCCAGCTTCTGGTACTGCTTTAGTAACCCCAGTCCAATGCCACCGATACCTACAGCAATCACGATGATTAGCCTCCTTTTGAAGACAAATTCCTCAACCCACCAAAGCAGAGGAAACTCGCCAGGCAACAGCGAGCCTGGACGAGAGAACCACCGAGACGAATCGACGTCCGATCTGATCGAATCCCTAGCCGCCTACACGTAATCCTTCAGGCTCTTCGCGAATTGCTCCTCATCCTCCACGGGAGGACTGGGGGACTCTCTCCGCCGGAAAACGCTGGAGATAGATGTCCGGTGGACGCTGAGGAAAGAGAGGAGAAGAGGTGGAAGAGCTTCTTCCATGGAGTTTCCAAAAGAGGATGGGTTTTTTTGCTTGTTTTTCTTCTGCTTCGATATGAGTAACGGCTCCTCTCTGGCCCTCGCCTCGCACACACAATGAGTCATCATAGGTGGCATTGCACGTGCCACTCCCATTCTTAACAATCGGACCGCGTGACGTTTGAACAAGCGTTCTTATATATTAACTAAACGTTCCCTTGGCTTTGCATACATGAAAGGAAGGAGGATAAGTGTTGGGAAACACACAAGATTATGTATTAACTTTGTCAAATGCTTAAGCAATAAAAGGTTGGTGTTTTTGGTTCGAGCGATTAGTTACTGTGTCATGAATCATGACGTGTGATTGTGTAAGAGAAGAAAGCAGAGAATAACAATACAAACAGGAAGAAGAAGCAAAGGAATTGGTGTGTGGTGTTGTTCAGCTTTCTTCAACTGGGTCTCCTACGCCCGGCAGTTGGAATTCATCAGGTCTGAGCGACAACTGAAAGTCCGGGAGCTCAGGCAAAAACTGCAGAGCCCTGTGGTTTATCATGAGGAAGTCCTTAATTTAGGGGTGTGTGTGTGTGTGTGTATACACATCCGCATGGAGTACTGCATATTTACATTTATACGCATATTCAACACTCTGACTAGTTGGATATATTGGGTAAAAGTGGAACTGGGTTGCTTACTTGTCTTGTTCCAACAAGTAGCCGTACATCTGAGACTTTCTGGAAGCAACCTCTGGAATTTTCTGGTGCAAATGCTTCATCACGCCCCATAGGGGAGGAGCCCTGGTCCCACACGAATTTGTAGTGAGAATATATAAACATGTCATTTCTTTGGTGGGGAAAACAGTCAGACCTTGTAACAGGAGGTGCCAAGCAGAAGCTAAGACATTCCTTCTTGCTCTCCGCTAAGATCTCTGAAGCTGCCAGAAAGCAACAGACGGCGCTCACATGGCAAGCCGGCTCATTTCCCTTGTCTGTTACCAACCCATTATAGTAATATGCTGCGGCCTGTGGCACAAGGTGTACCACAATGGGGATTGATTAAGCTCCGGTGAAATGAGGTAATGTACTAAGGTTGACCACATGACCTTCTATATTTATTACCTTAGCTTCAAGAAATTTCCAATAGATGAAGCGAATGAGCTTCTTCGGACATCCATGGCTGACTTCGCAGTCAGACAAGCATTGATATGCCTGCAAGTTCAAGAAAACCATGGATCATGAGAACACCTATATATATTTTGTGGGGGTGGGGGGGTAGGGGGGGGGGGGG